GACATTACTGTTATGTATTGTGACAAAATGCCATCAAATTTACTCTTTCCAAACTAAGGAAATTGGCACTAGTTAATTTTCAAGAATGGAAGAGCATTTTTAGTAAAGATGGAGTAATGGTTTGTGATTCTCGCCAACACATTCATATAGGTTTGTCCAAAGCTAAAACAGGTACCTCTGTATCTTCCCTTGCTCGAGCTTGACAAGAGAAAACCATCACCTCCTCCTTCTCTCCAGGAAATCTACTTGGATTCAAAAGAACGGTGGGAATCAGGAAATCTACCTCCGTACAGGTATGTTGTTCTAAATTTAACAACCACTTTGAGTTAGAGTCTCTACTCATGCACACACGGCAAATCCTTTTTCTTTTCATCTCAGTGGTCAAGGGTTCATTTAGAGTTTTATAAAACTTGAGAGTTATACAGAGATAGTTGTTAGACAAAGGGGAGGAACAAAACAGTGGGAAACACAACCGCTTTCATTGTCATTTTTCATATATATTACAACTTGGTTTTTACATACAGAGAACAAAAGATGAAGCAACATCTATATTTAGCCAATCACGGCACACATATAAGCTAGGTTGGCTTGATAAGCCAATACAAAAAAGAAGAAAAGACAGTCGGGCACTATCAATAGCATGGCTCCTCCTAAAGCCATGCTCTTCACGTGTTGTCATTCACAACAAAATGATGCAAAAAGCTTCTTGTATTTAATCTCAAAATCCTAACAGTTCTAATTTAGATATTTACCTTTTCAAGGTGCACAAACTTGGAGCTGTTAGGAGATCAATAGATGTAACCCGTTATTCAGATTATGATGAGCTCAAAAAAGATATGGCCATGGAGCTGTTAGGAGATCAATAGATGTAACCTGTTTTTCAGGTTATGATGAGCTCAAACAAGATACGGCTCGTAGGTTTAGCATAAAGGGGCAGCTGGAACACCGAGGGAGAATAGGCTGGAAACTAGTCTATGTGGATCACGAGTTTTTCTTCTTTTTGCTGGTTTATGGTGTTCGGATTCCTTTCTGCTTGATCATTCAGGGTGTTTTGGCTTGTCATTTCCAGAGTTGTTTTTCTGTGCCTTATGGTGTTGAGGTTCCAGGGAGGTCCGTGTCTTCTTTTTGTTTGTCAGGATGGTTTCTCCTTGTTGGCTGCCAAACTCCACTCAAGCAGCTGTTTTTAGAGTAGTTGCACCTTTGTCTTTGGTCGGTAGCTGGTCTGTATAAGCTACTTCTTTTGCTTTGAGCTTCAAAGCTTTTGAATTGTACAGCTCTCTGCCCCAGCCATTTTTTATGCCATAGGGAGTTTTAGGCGGTTACAGCTTCAGACTTTCAATGGCATTTGTGGCTGATGAGGCCAATAAATTCATCTTTCAAAAAAAAAAATACAAAGAAAATATGCCTTCAATTGTCAAATGGAAGAACAGATGCATCATAGAAGCAGATCCTCTCAGTTTTAATTTTATTTTTTCAGTTAGTTCTTGTTAAGATCTCTTTGCACTCTCAAAAGGGTCATGGACTTCGAGCTTAAAAGTAGAGTTATATATTGTTGTATAATTTTTTGGATTGATGCATGTTGTTCGTGATCATATCAGTGCTTATTCTTTACCTTTCCTCGTCCATTGTACAAGGTTTCAGTTACATTCAATTTAATGTATATTGTACTTGCCTAGTTGGGCCAGCCCTGCTTTAAAACCAAATAAGAAGTTTATTACACTATCACAATTTAGTCATACACACGCCATATAAAACCATCTCTCTGCTGAAAAGCTATAGCTCCATAGGCATAGGAAGTCTCCACTGGGCTAGAAGCTTTCTTTGTCTTCCATAATGATTGTAAAAACTGAAAATGGTGATCTTATTAGGTACGTGCTTCTTCCTTTCTTTGCCTTTTCTCTGATCTTATATTCTTTCAATTACTAGTGACTACTTTCAGATGGGTGTCTTACATCTTTGCTATCACTTGATTTCTGTGGCACTATCTACTTTGAAACTGTCTGTATTTGGTCTGAATCATCACTTGGAAAAACTGGATTAGGGCATGAGGCTTTCATATCAAATGGGTGAATAAAACTGAATTGTGAAAACACTGACAAGGTAGGAGTGGATAAGAGGCCACTTGTCCTACTCTCCTCTATTATTGCCTTTCTTGTCATGTGTTTCACAACAATGTAGGTATGAATTGAGCAAAAACTGACAAATTAGTAGACATATACTACTCTCATAATCATCATTGTTAGCATAGTCAATTTGTTTTTACTCATCATTATTAGTGTCATCATCCTGCTCTTGATAACAAGAAAATGGTCATGTAAACCTCTTGAGCTGCTCATTCCAACATTCATTAACAATCAGCTACTAATTCTTTATGATATTTTATTTACTTGTTCGGTATTAACAAGTCATACTTTTGCTTTGTAATACCTTTTAGCAAGCAAAAGCAAACAATAGATATTAAGTAGCAAAAATAAATACACCAAACAGAGTCAAAATTGATGGCTAAATTTCATTCATTTTATATGGGACCCTTCATCTGCCAAGAAAGTGACTAAAGAAAGATGAAATGAGAAAAAAGCTTCATTATTTGTCTGTTATTTCCTGAACGGTTTCATTTGCTTCCCTCCCACCTTTTAATTTCCTCGTTTTTCCATCACTTTTGCAGAGGCTTCATTAGTTTTTGGTTCTGTTCTCAGCCTTTCTTCAATTCACTGCCCTTTTTTCTAATCTCTAGTCTGGCCAACATCCCTTAGGAAGTATCAACCTGCTCTAACAAGCATACCTTCTTTTGCGGAGTTTTGTTTCAATTCTTTTGCTTAACATTCTGGTGTAGATTGTAGAATCATACTGTAACGATCCAAGTCCAACTACTGGTCCAACAGTTTTTTGAACGTAAACCATGTGAACTAGGATTGTTATATAGGTCTTAACAATCACATTCATATCCGATGTGGGATATTGGGTATCACAATCTCACCCACTCAAATCCTTGATGTCCTCATCAAGGCCACACATCACATTCACAGGATCAAATCACGTGGACAAAAATTATCCACAAGACCAAACCACGTGGACTAAGATTGTTATATAAGTCTTAACAATCACATTCATATCAGATGTGGAATGTTAGGTATCACAATCCCACCCACTCAAATCCTTAATGTCCTCATCAAGGCCACACATCACATCCATAGGACCAAATCACGTGGATTAGGATTGTTATATAAGTCTTGACAATCACATTCATATCAGATGTGAGATGTTAGGTATCACAATCCCACCACTCAAATCCTTGATGTGTGATCAAATCACGTGGATTAGGATTGTTATATAAGTCTTGACAATCACATTCATATCAGATGTGAGATATTAGGTATCACAATCCCACTACTCAAATCCTTGATGTCCTCATCAAGGCCACACATCACATCATCAAGGCCACACATCACATCCATAAGACCAAATCACGTGAATTAGGATTGTTATAAAGGTCTTAACAATCACATTCATATCAGATGTGAGATGTTAGGTACCACAATCCCACCACAAGATCAAACCACGTGCATTAAGATTGTTATATAAGTCTTAA